TTTATATATGGAGATGTTTTTAGATATATATACAGAGGGGGGCTTTGTGCATAATGAGACAATCCAATAATCATTTAATTATACTTTGTACTATATAAATGGACAGATGAGCAAACATTTGAAATTTTAGATTTTTTTTTTTACTACATCTTTTTCTGTCTGTCCACAATTTATCTCAAGTACAAAGTATGCAATTTTATGCATGAATTTATCCCTTCCCTTTCATTAATATATACAGTATGAGTAGAATGTGCTTTTTGTGTTGTTTCGTCACCTTTTATACTGTGTTTGTGCAATGTTTTATTTGCTTTTGCCATGACACTCCCATCATGTGGAACGCATTATAAATTCATCATATCCGAACAGTTTTTACGGGTGGGTCATATCACTTAGAGGATGCAATACCAGTGGGATAGGTCCATATCCTTCTAATACAGAGTAATTCTGGCTAAGTATTTTCATTTAAAGGGGGACTGACACTTCCCAGAAATTTTAATATTAGGCTTACTCATCACCATTTTGTTTCCCTGTCAATCACTGTTATAAGCTATGTAAGTCGCACCTGGCAGTCATCATATAGAAATCACAGTTTTTCTGCTGAATTAACCAACAGGATAATTTACTACAGTGAAACTTCAAAGTGAATTCAATGTGAATTTCACTTTTAAGGCCAGAGCACTCAATCTAAAAGCATTGCTGACTAAGATAATTTTTCCAGTTCGACTATTTTGTTCTTAAATATAACATTTCTCTCTGAATTCATTTTAAATTCTCACTTTCATCAATAGCCCTGGAAGATTCAATCAAAACACAGCTGTGATGTGAAATAGGTAAGTTAACTCCCAGGAGCTCCCATCACCTGCTTTTCCTAAAAATGGATTATGAATAAATACAGAACGGACAAATGACCTTTACATATAGATTTGAATCAATGTGCTATCAGTACATTTGTAAAACCTTTTTCTTCTATGTTTGCTTTTGCTCTCCATGAGTTAAAGGGACACTCCAGGCACCCAGACCACTTCTGCCCATTGGAGTGGTCTGGGTGCCAACTCCCACTACCCTTAACCCTGCAACTGTAAATATTGCCGTTTTCATAAACTGCAATATTTACCTTGCAGGGTTAACTCCTCCTCTAGTGGCTGTCTGTGGGTTTATAGCACAGATTGTTTGTGCTATAGCGTCGCTGGACGTCCTCACACTTTGTGAGGACCTCCAGTGTCGCTGAAATCCCCATAGGAAAGCATTGAAATCATTTTCAGAAAATCTGTGCTATAGCATCGCTGGACGTCCTCACGCTGTGTGAGGACCTCCAGTGTCGCTGAAATCCCCATAGGAAAGCATTGAAATCATTTTCAATGTTTTCCTATGGGGAAGTCTAATGCGCGTGCGCGGCATTGTCGTGCATGCGCATTAGGTCTCCCCCGTCGCCGGCCAGACAATCAAACCACAAGTAATTTGAATTGCAAAATTGATACAGGTATACATTCAGTTTCCAGCACCTGGAGTTGAAGAGGACCCGCCGGGAGAAGATGGTGGCGCCTGCGTGAGAAAGGTTCAGCTGAGTATAACTCACCTTTGCCTGACCGCCCAGCCACCGAACACCCAGCTGCGATGTTACCATCGGGGTCTTCGCAAATTCTGGAAAGTCTACAGACAGTGACAGAGCCACTTTAAAGGACCACTAAATGCAACCAGACCACATCTCAATGGATTGGATGACATCATCAAGACTGATCATCTCAACCAATGCTCTTACAGCCATAGTACTGGCAAAGCATCACGGGAGACGCAGTCCAAAATATCTGGAGTGCCAAATGTGGCCCTGTCCTGCGGAAAAATTAGTTGGATAATAGATGGGATTGAAAGAATCAAAAAGTGACAGACTATGGAAAAAGGAATTAAACAGAGAGCAGAGAGAAGGAAAAAAGAGGTGAGGAGAGAGAAAATGGGATACTTAGGGTATGTGAAGATAGTGGAGGTAAGGGGGCCATGGTTGGTCCAAGACTGTCTAACTGAGGGGTGAGAAATTATTGGAAAGGATGTAAGTGCTACATGACGACAAGTATTCAACATTTTCTGACACTCAAAGAAGCTTTAATTTATTTACTTTCATCAATGCATGTTCTCATCACTGATCATGTGGTTAGAAGAATTCTAGCTTGATTTTAATTCAATTGGAACACCCAGAAGAAAATCAAGAACAGTTTCTAAATAAACCATGTGAGTTATATTTTACTGACTTTCGAGGTCTATTTTTTAGATTATAATTAAATTAATGAAAGTTCAATTTAAAAGAGATTGTAAATGGAAACAGTATTTGACTTATCACCAGCTCAAAATACATGTAGTTCTTTAATTATCATTTTTATATAGTAGCATCGAGATGTTCTAAAAAAAAAAGAAAATTTACACTGCAAAGGGCTGTACGAGATTGGGCTATTAAGGGATCTTTTATGTGGTTTCACCAAAATGTTTGTAAGAAACTATTTAAACTCCCACCCAACCACATCTTATGCTGAGATTGAAAGGAAAGGAAATGCCAAAAACAGTAAATGGTCTTATGTTTAAGACTTGTTCATCTAAAAATAAACTATAAAATGAAACCTTTTTTTCCTTGCCTGAATTCTTTAATTCGACTTTCCACACATCCCATACTGGCATTCGGGTCCCCTGTAACCTGAACTAGGCTTGATGGGGTTTATGCATTAAACCAGAAAATAACTGAGATTTTTAGATCACAATAGCCGAGTTGCAAAACTTATCAGAATTGGAGAGTTTTTCAAATGTTCAATCTTTTTTTCATAAAATGTGAAATATCTCTGCGATTCTTCACTCTCCTCAGTTAAGTAAATTACCCTTTGGTTCTGATTGGACCAAACAATGGGACATTGTTCTGCCTTGTTTATAACACAGTTTTAATAATAATAGTCTAATTGAAAAATTAAGAATTGCTTTCAAATTATACAAACTTATAAAAAGACTTTGTGGAAACACAATGGGTTTTCTATACTAAACACTGCATTATACTGAATTGAAAAGTAAATTGCAAAATTTATTGTAAAATAGTACATTTGGAAAGATTATACAACTCTGCTCTAGTCACAGCTTGGCTAAGATAGATTACATTTAGCAATTTGGTTTTCAATTCACTACTATGGGTGTTTAGTGTATAAACCTCTATTGAGTCAAAATTCATGAACTACCAAGAGACCTTAGTAGGGCATGTAACAAAGTTGTTTTTTTAAATAGATGTTAGAAAAAAAATCAACACTTTTTGTCATTTAGGACTTTACTACTCGGCGGTGATTTATTAATAATTTTCATAACTGTATAAATTACCAATTAGAACCATTTTAGCATGTGGTCAGGTCACACACAAAACAAAAAGGAAGGTAATGTATTCTATAAGCATGTAATTTTGTGCAGGTTAAATTTACCTGCATAATTTTATTCACTGTTCATCACAGTAGCACAATTATGTATCCTCGATTTTTCACTCTTAATAAGGAAAATTAGAAAGAGCGGTCATCATAGGCATTGCTGGGGAGGGGCTTTGGGGGCTGAAGCCACAGATGTGTGGGATC